TGATTTACAGAACGAGGAGGATGTTGAAACCGGCCTGGTCGGAGCTCCTGCTTGCAGCGACGTCATGAAGCTCTAAATTAAAGTAGATGATGAGATCAAAAAAGTAGTAGATGCGATCTTCAAGACCTTTGGATGTGGTTCTGCCATCGCCTCCTCCTCCGTAGGTTCATATAAAGCTAAGAAATGAATCGCACTCTATATGCATGTGTGTGTTATTTTACAATTTTAGTAATTAATTTTCATGTTTCTGCATAATTCATTTTATTTTTTTTGGAGAGTTTTTCAATTTTCTGTTGGTTAATTCACGAAAGAAAATCATGGTCCAGTGAATTTAAGATATGGTGCTTGAGATTGGAAAGTCTGATATTTCTGGGATTTGGAGGTGTTCCCTGCTAATTAGATTTTAAGAAAAAGATATTTAGAAAGATATTCATTCAGTGACGCTATTTTAAGAATTGCAGAAAGAATATTTCAAGAATCAATGGTTTCTGCTGCTATGGATACACAGGTGAATGAAAATTTAAATCTTAGTCTCTTGATTTGGTATTTTTATTGAGAAATTTGGAAAAGAAAATTTAGACCATTATTGATTCAGAGAAATTGGTTTTCAAGTAATAATTAGTACGTTTCTCTAGGCACAAATATTTGAACACCTATATAACTGCTACGTTTGATGCCAATTTTATTGTTAAATTTATAGTTGTGAATATTGTGTTATTTGTAAGCAGAAGGGAAAAAAATCCAGTATTTTCCATCTTCAGCTACTGAACTTGCTTGAGCTACTTATGATATGAATAAATTAGTAGTTTTCTGTTCTCCGAGAATTGTGATGTTGATTTATATGTCTCACCTTGCACAAAAATGTGGTAGGTGGTGGCTTCTTGTGTAATCTGGGATTGCGCCATAGGTTCTCATCAGTATAGAATTGGAATTTTCTGTGTATAATTTACCCCAAAGAAGAAATGATACGTGTCTTCTCGGTTTGTCTTTATATCCAAAAAAAAGCTAATAACAATTACAATTCAAACATTGGTACTCTGTTTCGTTGAAGTACTTGATCTGAAAAAATTCATTTATTATCTGGATTTTTCTTGTTGTTTATGTTTATTCACCTGATATTAAGGATTATTTGGGTTGAGATCTAGTCTCAGATATTGCATTATACAACTTACAGCATGTTTTGAAGCGATGGAATATGAAGCTGTATAATGAAAAGCTAAACCGGAACCGAGTTGCCTGAAGAAAATTTCGGCCTACGTTGACGGGCAAAATTTTTAGTTGTGTGATTATTTTAGAGAATTTTCAACTTGTTCAAATACTTTGTGTGTTGTATCACTTGATACATTGTGGTTTAATGATTTTAGATTGTATTAAATCACCAACAGGAAGCAAAAGCAATTAGGCGAAAGAGAAAAATCCT